CAATTGTTCTATATGGGTAGGTATCTTTTCGATCAGGTATGATCCGTCAGTTATTTTGTTAGACCAAGCCTAAATCCCAACATATTTTAAGATAAACAAATTCTCCCTTAACTACAATTAGCACGTATTCAAGAGGTACAGTCCCTATTATGGGCCCAAATCCCACTATCCTGCTTTTCTATCCTAATTTCTCAGTAGACAACAACTCAGTATTCTTGGTGTGTCTAAATTTATTACAGAGCTCCACGGCAATATTGCTTTAAAGGGACACTATAGTCACCAGAACAACTATAGCTTAACCACTAGCTTTGCTTCCTGGGGCAGTGCTGCCATTCAGCGCCTCCATGGGCTCTGCATGGGGACGCTGAATTTTCCTTATAGAGATGCATTGATTCAATGCATCTCTACGAGGAGGTGCTGATTGGCTAATATGGTGTTTGGCCCAGCCCCCTTGTTGATTTTAGCCAATCCAATGCTTTTCCCAAGGGAAAGCATTGGGTTGGCTAAAAAGTGGCAATTTTGATGATGTCACCAAAGGGGCAGTGAGTTTGAATTCCTCCTGTTTCACATATATATTGAGTCTCTGGATCACACCATGTTAGCGTCTATCTGTCTCTCTCACTCATAAACTCAACATATCCTAGAACTTTGTTTCCTTCTCAGTATCCCTCACACTCAGTGTCTGTCACTCACCCTCCTGGTAACACTCAGTGTCGTTCACTCCTGGTGTCTCTCAAACTCAGTGTCTCTCACTCCCAGTATCACTCACACTCAGTGTCTGTCACTCTCATTCTCGGTATCACTCACACTCAGTGTCTGTCACTCTCATTCTCGGTATCACTCACACTCAGTGTCTGTCACTCTCATTCTCGGTATCACTCACACTCAGTGTCTGTCACTCTCACTCCTGGTATCCTTCACACTCAGTGTCTGTCACTCTCACTCCCGGTATCCTTCACACTCAGTGTCTGTCACTCTCACTCCCGGTATCCCTCACACTCAGTGTCTGTCACTCTCACCCCCGGTATCCTTCACACTCAGTGTCTGTCACTCTCACTCCCGGTATCCTTCACACTCAGTGTCTGTCACTCTCACTCCCGGTATCCCTCACACTCAGTGTCTGTCACTCTCACCCCCGGTATCCTTCACACTCAGTGTCTGTCACTCTCACTCCCGGTATCCCTCACACTCAGTGTGTGTCACTCTCACTCCCGGTATCCCTCACACTCAGTGTCTGTTACTCTCACTCCCGGTATCCCTCACACTCAGTGTCTGTCACTCTCACTCCCGGTATCACTCACACTCAGTGTCTGTCACTCTCACTCCCGGTATCACTTACACTCAATGTTTGTGCTGTTTGCAGGTTTTCATGCCTACCAGCGGATGACCGGCTGTGAGCTGAGAGATGATGGCAGTATCTGGGTATATGATCAGCACGGTTATGACGGGAAGGATTTCCTGGCTTTGGATACCGAGCGCCTGGTTTATATTCCGCTCACAGACGAAGCTCAGGTCACAGCACAGAGATGGAACAGCCCAGAAGAGAGACTGGGGGACTATCACAAGAATTACCTGGAGAATCGATGCATAGAAGAACTGAGAAAATTCCTCCAGTATGGCAAGGAGGAGCTGGACAGGAGAGGTGGGCAGGGATGGGGGAGGAGCAACAGAGGGTAGGTGGGGTTTTTTTTGCAGGAGGGGCCTTATAGTAACAATGTTTATAACAGTTTCTGTTTCCTATCAGATTGTGTTTCCATGAGTCTCAGCGCTCAGCAATGTCTGGAACTCTGCCCCCTCGTTGACTTAATCTGCCAGTGTTCGCCCCTCCCTCCTAGATTTTATTCTGTGTAATTAGCTGAGAGACTCCCACTGTCCTCAAACTAATTGCAACTAACAACTGGAGGAGCTGTCATGGAGGAGAGATTATCACACAGTAATAATAACAAAAATAATTATAATAATAATATTAATAATAATAATAAAACAATACTATTAATAATAACAAAAATAACAAAACAAATAATAATAATAAAGGCCAAAAATAATAACAATAATAACAAAATATAAATAATAACAAAGCAATGATGATACTAAAGACCAAAATATTAACAAAACAAAAATAATAATAGACAAAAATAATACTAATAAAGGCCAAAAATAAAGTGAAAAAAATCACTTAAATAAGACTTAACTTTTATGTGCATCTAGAAAGAAAAATAAAGTATAAATTATACATGAATTATATCTCAGGTTTGATTATAGTGGAAAAGTGGGAGTCCTGACATTGAGACTTGTTTATGCTGAGCCAGGTAATATCTATTACTTGGTAATGTATATAGAGGTGGCAATTTCTAAATAAATCAGATAATTATCCCTTAATAAGTAACACAAGTTATCAGAGTTTCCAGGAATCTAGGATCTGCAAACTTTTCTTTGTCTTGGGGATGACTGTTCTATACCAAACCAAATGTTTGTTTGATTATCTGCCCCTGTCCAGATTGTTTGAATGAAGGTGAATGCACGCTGAAGTAAATCACACTGACACAAGTTTCAGATGAATTAAAAACTTCGGAATATTTACTGAGGGGGGCGGCAAGCCCCTTATAAAGCACAAAATACATCATATGCAAAACATGAGAACATGAAAAGTACATTTTTTAATTGGTAAGTGCCAAGTGTCTTATCTGATGTACTTCCTCCAGGGTGTGATGTCAGCATCATCCTAAATGTAACCCTGAGACGGAGACACCATCATGTTACACAAGGTGTTTTAGACGATGGGAGGGGGTGCTCTAGCAGCCATTTTGAGTAAATAATGAGCACATGTATACTTAGTAAATATACAATTTACCTACATTAATTTCATTAATTTCTATCCATTACAGTCCCCCCTTAAAATGACTATTTACTAACATATATCTCTAGCAGCTATCTCTGTGTCTAATATCTGTCCCTAATGGCCTAACTCATCTGTCCAGCAGGCCTCGAACTCTTTTTGTGCTGCGCATAAGACCACCCCCCCTCGCTACAGACTTTTGCCTAGACGGAAGTCAGATGCTATCCCTACTATCCCTAAAATAATGTAGCCTTGGCGGGGAGGGACTGCAACGGCATAGGGTATATCATAATCCTCCTCATCTATCTCTTGATGAATTAAAGTTGGTGTGGCCTGATCTGCTGTTTTCTGTAGACATTTCTTAACACAGGGAGAACACAACAGACAATGAGAGCAAGAATAATCAAAATTACCAGGACCGCCAGACCTATTTGGGCCAGAACTCTCTGCCAACCACTCATCCACCCAAACCATCTTTCCCATGGATCTCTGACCACAGAGTTCATTTTTGTTGTTCTGAGAGACTTTCTAATTTCTCTATTGCCAGGGTCATCTTGCCATTTTGGCCTGTGTTATCTGGAATGTAGGTTCAACATGTCATGGTGTCCAGGGGTATTTTACATACTCCCCCTTTTTCCGCTAGGTTCATGTCTAGGGCCATCCTATTTTCAAAGGTCATCTGGGATGTGGCCTGTAGTTGCTCAGCCATCCCCTGAAGGGCATCTCTTGTATAATTTACAAACTGTTGTTGGTTATAATATATATAATTAATCCAATTCAGATTCTTATTGGCAGTGATGATAGGAAAAATGGATTAAAACCCCTGCGGCAACTTCATCTCTCGCTTTGAATTCATTTGGCACCCAAATGGCATCTATATAAACATGGGGGTCGAAACTGCCTTTTACAGGTTCTGAGGTGTGGGTGGGACTTGTCAAGTGAATCTTTGTGACTGTTGGATATTATGTGTATTGGCATAATAACCTTGGCTAGGGCGCATTCCCCCCACCATAAACCTTCCAACCTTGTCCTAATTTGCATATCCCCACTGTAGCGGATGGCACTGGGCTGTCCTGAAAATTACATGTGTTAACTGCATTCGTGTAAACTGCTGGTTTTATATGTGTTTAAATAAAGTGTATTCGTCTGATTGTTCGGTAGAATCATTCGAATAAACTAAGGGAATGAAACTACTGAACAATCAGACCTCCCCTGTGTGAAGTGTGCCTTCAATTACCCATTGCAACAATGTTGCGAACGGGTAATTAACAAGCTATGCAGTAGGTCCTATGTCTCGGGGTGGCCGCCATTCGGGAAACGAACACGTGGTGGTGGCCATTTTAAAACTCCCGAACAGCTGTGTTTTGCCGTTGAGTGTCTGGAACCCAAATCGGACACTCGACTAGGCGAACACCGCTGAGACCTCCACAAGCCCGGTCCATTCGGTTCCAAACTACCGAACGACCCCTCGTTCGGTAGACAGAAACAACCGAACGAGGGGATTCATGTGAACCCTACCTGATCTCTGTAGCCTTAGCCGTCCGTGTAAATTATTCCCTTGTACTGTGACCGACCGCAGGGTCCAATCGCATGGAACCCAATTCGGCTGTTCTCTCCAGCGCAGTCGGTCTTTTTAGTACCTCCATAAATTTCCCGAACCCCTGGTCCGATCTGGGTGATTTTTGGATATGTTGCTCACCCAGATCAGGGCTACCAGGGGATGTGCCATTTAAAGAGGTACCCCTAGGTTTAGGGGTACATCCAGAAACTGGGGGAATTTGGGTACAGTATAAGGGGATTATGATGCAGGCTGAGGGGAGGAGATGTGTGGGAGGTTACTATTGTCGGATTGGGTACTGTAATAATTGATGAAAGTCCTCCCTTGCATGGGAGCATGCTATATAAGGCCACTGTGGAATAAAGGTTTTCAGTTCTGCTCCTGATGCTGTGTGTCGTACAGTTATTGGGATTGCTGTTGGGATACTGTTGGATTATTTTACCTGCTGGAAACCTTGCCTGTGGACTTATAATTACTTGTTCCTGAGCCTCACTGGGATCTTAAGCGGAGATAATCTGTGGAATATTGTATCTCCGCTACATTGGTTGGCAGCGCTGGGATCCAGACTCACAGAGGAACAAGCACAAATGGAGTACGGATGGAGATTGATTTTGCTACACTAAAACGCTCCACATTAAAGGACCTCCTAGAGGCAAGGGGTATTCAAGCCAGCAACAAGAAGAAAGTGGTATTTATTACCGAACTCATGGCAGAGTACCGAATGGATGGCGGTTCGGTTCCCGAACAGGGGGATTCGGGGGAAACACAGGAACAAATGGAGTTCCAGAGACAGTTACAATTTAGGCTGTCTTTTTATGGAGAACACCCGTCAGCAGAAATTATTTCCAGGACCATGACAGAGGTCCAGGAATTCATACTGAGGCAACAGATAACAACAACCCCAGAACGCAGCTCTACAGTAAACATGCCACAGGAAGGTAAGCCTAAAATACCATATCAGGCTTTTAAAACATATGTGGAGGCAGAGGAAGATATAGACGCTTTCCTGCAAGATTTTGAAAGACTGTGTGCATTGCATAAAATCAGCGCAGAGGACTGGGTACCTATTTTGGCAGGACGGTTAACGGGGAGGGCAGCAGAGGCATATCGTACTGTGCCAGATGAAGAAATCAGGAATTACAGTAAAGTGAAGGAGATTATACTGGCCCGGTATGCTATAACACCAGAGGCATACCGGAGGAGATTCCGGGATTTAAAGAAAGTGGAGAAGGACTCACATGCAGAATGGGCGTGCAGGTTACAAAGGGCAGCGCTTGGGTGGGTGCAAGCTAGCAAGGCACGGTCCATGGAGGACGTGATACAAATGCTGCTAATGGAACAATTTTATGATGGGGTGACAGCAGATGTCCAGGAGTGGGTAAGGGACCGAAATCCTACCTCCCTCACAGAAGCTGCTAGGAGGGCAGATGAGTACCTAGACGCACGCAGGGATCAAAAACCTGCAGTTCCAAGAGTAGCATTAAAAACCTTTGGGGGAACCAACTTCACCCCACCACCACCGAGACAACTACCACCGCCACCACCACCCGCTGCACAGCCACGATTTCGCCAGCCGAGCTCTGGGCCCTGTCATCACTGCCAGAAATGGGGGCATTATAAAAGAGAATGCCCACAACTACGGGATCGTTCCACCTGGATCTGACCAGGCCCGCCACCACCACCAAGAGCAGCCGCAGCCCACTACTACCAGGACATAGTGGCAACACCATATGGTTCAGCAGTACCCATTACCACCGTGGAACAGTGGGAAGTATTGCACGAAGCTGATCCAGTCCAGGCCAATGCTGATAATCGTCAGCACCATAGTCAGACGGTATACTTGGAGGGAAAGCGGTCCAAGGACTACGTGACTCAGGAGCTACCATCACCCTGGTAAAGAGTCACCTGGTTTCGGATCAGGCTAAGCTCAGTAAAACTGTAGCCGTCAGGGTAGCCGAGGGAGCAGTGTACCGGCTACCTACAGCAAGGGTACATTTGCATTGGGGAGCGGGGTCAGGACACATGGAGGTGGGGTTGATGCCGCAGTTACCGGCGGAGGTTTTGTTGGGGAACGATCTGAGGAAGCTCACGTCTGCTTTTGAGCCCCAGACGCCCACCACAGGAGAAGCTCACCCAGTGGTCACCCGACAACAGGCCCGCACCCAGGACTACAACACACTCCCGGAGATTCAGGTAAGAGACCCTTCCCTTCCTTAGAATGTGTCCCCTGGGCCCCACCTAATGAATT